GCTGCCTGTGTGGCGACCCGCAACCATGGAGATATAAACAGCTTTTTATAAGGTAAAAATAATAAAACAAGGTCTTTGCAATGCTTAGACATGTTTTTTATTATTGTAATTAGTGATTATCTCAATTTCGGCTAAAAGAATTGACAAAATCCTATACACTGTGCCTTTAAAGGAAAAATGTCATGTAAAATCAACTTTTTTGAGCTTCATGTTATAGTACGTTAAAACAGTATCCCTCCTTCAAAACATACAGAGTATTGATTTGACTTATTCATATATTTTTGAGAAATCAGTACTACACTGTCCTACTGTCATTCAGGAGAACAAAAATGGCTGGTTGGCCCTAGAACCGCCTTTTAGGTGCAGTTCTTCCTCTGGGCTGTGTCTCCAGCTTCTGCATCACAGAGCACACCTCCCCCCCGACTCCTGCAGGCTATCAGCAGCAGCAACTAGCAAACAAATACCTGATGAAACTGCAGATCTGCTGAGCAAACATTGTTGTTGTCTGCCCAGGTAAGCTGAAAAATAACTTACATTGTTTTGTTCAGTTGTTTGGTCTATTTGTGATCTATGGTTACCATTCTTAACTTATATTATGATATGTGCTCTTTAGTTGGCTTACACTACATTTTAGTAATAAATAAATTAGCCCTTAACATGCATTTGTGGAATAATCCCTAACCTGCAGGTGTGGTGCCATTAATAAGTTGCAAGAAACTGATGCATATTTTCCCAAGCAAACTAACTAAGTTACTAACAGAGCAATCTTGTTAATATAAGCATTCATTTATTTCAGCATGAGCAGATTGTTTAGTACCTACAATAAAAGATGAGTTTATTCCAAAGGCGCCTTGACAACTTGTCACTGCTGAATCATGACAGCTTGGTTTATAAGCCTCAGTAATTGAATGCTGTAAACAAGTTGGTTTGCAACCAAACAATGCTCCCAGTGCTTGACTGCTGTGCAAATTATGATGTTTTCTGCTACATTTCAAAGTAAAATTGTCATTTTGATAGGTGACTTTGGAAGAGAAGATTTTTTTGAATCTATGGACTAACTGGACACACTGTGAAGGATGGTTTTAGAATAAAAACATACATATACATGGGTGGTGAGGAAGGTGGAGGAGAGGATAGTGGACAGTGTCGTTCTTTGAGGCACACAAAAAGCTGAAACCAATCCATCACACACAGAAGCAATGCCATCACTACTTTTTGTTTTGGCTCTAAATATTGGATGCACTCCCTTAAGCTTTTGCATAAACTGTGCCAGTTCTCCCATGTTTATGCAGAGGATAGAAGCCCCCTTATTCCCACAACTGCTAGCATTTTGGCTAGTGCTCATGGTTTTTTATTTGGTTTGTCTGCTCAAAGCAAGTACAAAAAAATAGCCCATAAATCCAGAGTTGTCTCTAATATATACAGTACTGTATGTATAAAATGTCAGCCTGTTGTTATTATTTAATTATAAAACAATCAACATTGGTGGGCAGATGTGTTTGAGAATGTTAATATGATTATAGGTCCTTCTCTGAGTGTCTGTCTATTGAAAGGCATTAGCTCGCCTAATAGGAACCCATATTCCAAAACAAATTAATTTGTAGGTATGACAATAAAAACTATCTGTTAATTTGGATGATTTCTCAACATCCTGCTTATTGCACAATCTATCATCAAATGTTGTCATCAGCTAAATCATCAAATTATGACAATCTATTCAAGATAAATCTAATTTGTAAATCGTATGTCATGTCATATTTATTTATTTAATTAAACCCAGGTCTTTTTTTCATTTGTGGTACTAAATTAGATAAGTTTTTCAGAGTGACTGCAGTCTGAACGGTTKTGTCACATTTCATCCAACCTCTCAATAAGGTAGGGGTATATGGATTGATCTAAATATTGTTACCAATACCAGTGTCATGCTGTTTCAACTGGAAGCCCTGTATGTCGTCACAGAACAGCAGTCCACTTGCTTCTTAATAACAGAATGGATTGAACTTTAACTTGGGTTCTTCTACACAGTCTACAATAGCTTCTCTAAATGTTAGAACTGATTTTAACAAAGCAACACAAGGCTACAAAGAGATACAAATGTATTCTCAGGTAGATGTTTTCCCTCTGTTAAAATGTAATTAAGAAATGGTCATTAACAGGAACACTTCAACTGAGGTTGGGGCGATCAATAAAACAGTATAGAAGAACTGTTCATTGAATTGTTGGAGAAACAAACCAGGACACCTGTTTCCCTGGAAAAAGCTTCTTCTCTACTTCAGGAAGAGTTGTCAGACACTGTAGCACTGTAAAACTATGAAACAGCATTTACACAAACATGACATTTGTCTGTTAAAAYTATCACTAGCTCCATGCATTTACAGCTGCAAAACAGAATCCCAGTTGCTTCGTCGTTTTACTTTTAATTTTCCATGTAGATAGTAACGTCCAGCCTTGGTCGCGGAGCGTATCGATCCTAACGTTACTCGGTCGATACTTTATTTCCAGCTCTTTGCTTCATTCCAAKAATAAAATGCTGCACCAGAGCATATAAACTCTGAAGTAAACAATCATMTCAGACAATTATTTAATCAAGTCTGATTAAACAACAACTTCAGATTTGACATGCTAAAAGTAGTATCCAAGGCAACTCTGTAAACAGTCAGCTGAACGAGACGTCATGTCTGCGCATGCAGGTCACATCAGTGCCATGGGGAGTTCACACTGGTGTCTGATGCAGGCTGCATTTAAAATGCAATGCAAAGGTTAAGGCCAAAAAAATTGTTTTTTTTTTTTCAAAGAGTCAGAACTGAGCATTAAGACCGGCAACGTGAAGGTAGCCTAAGTCTTACGACAGAGTATTAGGGCCACTCAACAAGATTTTTTTTCTTTTTAAATTGTGATAATAAAATCATAATATTACGAGATTAAAGTCGTAATATCACAAGAAAAAGTCATGATATTAAAAGATTATGAGAACTAAAAAGTCAAGAAAAAAACAGATTTTTACATGACATGTCCATTTCTCATTCACAATTTTTTACTAATTTCCTCATTATTTTCCTCACACCTGCTGTGGACAGCCATGCGTGTCTCTGTGTTTATAAAGTGGTCCGTGATTACTTTTGGGTCACTGATAGTGGAAAATGCTTTTGTCCATATTAAGTTTCTAGTAATATTATGACTTTGATCTTGCACTATTACAACTTTATTTTCAGAATATTAGGCTTATGACATATTTTTTCTCAAATTAAAACAATGTTATTCTTGCAACATCACTTTATTTTCATACAACTTCATTCTCTTAATGTTATGACTTTAATGTTGTAGCCTTCTTTATGGAAGTTTATTTTTTGTTTAGTTTTTTTAAAGAATGTGATTTCTTTATTAGATATTTTTTTTATTTATTAATTATTCTATTTATTTATTTTGACCATTCTACATGGCAGAATCATTCACCTAACAAGCACTTAGTGCTTAACACCTACCACAACTCAGGACACATGAGCAATTAGGGGGGTTCATGTGTGTCAATATGTTTCTGATGGCCAAAAAAGAAAGGCTTTGAATAATAGTTTGTTTATATTTAAACAACTTGCAACTTTTTTTTCCGACCCAGTCAGAGTTAAAAAAAAAAAATAAGATATATACTGTATATAAGAGAGCATCTGTCCAAGTGTCATTTATTTAAGAAAACAGTGCTTATTACATTGTCAAACTTTTATTTATTTAGCCAGCCCTAGCGAATCTTTACAACTCTAGTACAAGTCTATTTACAAGATCCACCTAACAGAAACATACATGTGGGCATTTTTTAATTACAAAATTCTCAAGTGTTTTTTTTTAAATAAAAAATACATATAGATGATTGAGAGATAAATATATAAATACACAAACATCTGATTTAACTCAACCATTCAATAAATAAATAGAACAATAAATAACATTCGAAACATCTTTGGCCAAACTTTGGCCACCTCATTCTCCCCACAGAGCTGACACTGGTCTTAATGTCAGTGCACAGTACATCATGCTGACTCAGTCAGCTTAGTCTATGGGGTTTAAAAAAAAGATCATGTGCCATGAAATAGCAAGTGAAAGAACAATTATATTGAGGCACTTTAAAGGATGTTCCAGGAAATGACAACATTTCTGTGCGTATCCCCCATGAGGAAACAAAATCTAAGACAATAAACAACATTCAATTGACAAGAAATTGAATGGCTGCTCATATAATTATGACACATGTTCCCTTATTTCTTCTTCATTTTTTTGTAATTTTATTCTTTTTTTTTTTTACAATTTTGGGATTGAGCATAATAAAGTACAATAAAAACTAAAAACAGTGAGATGAAAAAAGTAAATAATAAAATCATGTAATCATGTGATAAGACTGATAAAAAAGGTCACAAAAAAGAAAAAAACAGCTTCATTTTAGAGTCTGTGAGTAACATCAATGTGTGTTTTCCGTGTTTGTCGAATTTGACTGAGTTTCTGACTGTTCTCCAAAAATGCCTGCCAGTGTCTTAAAGCGAGGCCCCCACTCACTGAGGTAATCGTAGTCTTCCTCAAAGTCTAKTGCGAGGGACTCGATGGAGCTAAGAGACTCTGCCACAGAGCCGTCACCTTCGTAAGCATACGTGGCCAAGGAGTCGTARGGCGGTGCTGAGTTGTCCGTGTCGTGTTCTTTCAGACGCTGGTTGATGAAGTCTCGGATGTCTGCACTGTCCTGAGATGCCGGGGGCCTGGGGCCTTGCTTCATCTCAGGTTTGACATCCCTGCGGAACAGGTTCTCCTTGACAACCTTGGGATTGCGAAGTGTCCCCATGTCAAACGCATGCGTGTCCTCTTCCCCTCCCCCTTCATCATCATAGTGAATGACATTATCCCGGATGTCCTCTTTAGATGACATGAGGGTTTCTTTTTTCTTCTGTCGTCGCAGACCCACGTAGAGGACAACGATAACTAGAGAAACAAATCAAAATGTTCATATTAGAGCACTTACAGATTCAGTCTACTGTACTTTAAAGCAGTGTTTTTCAAAGTAGTGGCCACCAGAGGGCACTTAGGGGCCTCAGAATGATTGAAGAAAGATGAAATCAAAGAAAAAAAGAACAAAAAAACATCTTAATGCATGCTTTAAATCATTATCTTTAAATTGAATCTGTTTTTCAGTCAACATTTTAAAATGTCATTCATAATTTAATACAGTGTTTTTTTTAAGAGAGCTTAAGAGAGCATTGTTTTTTCTCTTTTCTTTTCTGTTTTTTTTTTTTTTTTGTCAATCATTTTGGTGAATAATTTATTTTTGAGGAAATATGGTGTTTAAAGATGTTTGTTAATCAAATCCCTGTACAAAACAAATATAACATGTATTGAGTTGTGAATAAAAAGGAGATAAAAACATTAAAGTTAATGTGCCTGTACATATTTTGTAGAATTGTTTATGGGTTTGCAATGAGGGCCCCCAGCCAAAACTAATGCTGTTTGGAGGGCCATGGCATGGAAATGTATAGCAACCCCTGCCTTAGACCATTTATTGTGGGGGGGGGAAAGTATGATTTGAAGTATAAAACATGATGCTGTCTTCAGATGAATGCAAGTTTGAGCAAAGTAGGTTTTTTTTTTAACCCTGCTGTTATGTTGTGGGTCAAACTGACCTGTTTTAAAGTATTTTAAAAAAAATTACATATTACAAATACTGTTCTGATCAATTTGACTTGGCAGTCAAGTGAAGAGTAAAAAGGGTCAAAACTGTCCAATACTACTTGTTCCTTTGCAACTGTGATGCTACGTTCACATTGAACGCGTACAAGTTGGACGCACTACGTTCAGATCGAACGCACTAGTGTTCAGAGCAGAACGAGAAGCAGCAGCAGRGGCTGCAGCTGGGTGTGTGAGGAGCGTGTCCTCSTCGGGTGAATTAAAGATAAAATAAAAGAAAATGGCTTTGATTTATTTACTAAAGAGCAAGCGAACGTTGCACACAGTAGATGATTAACTCACAAGATGATTTAGAGGCGATTTGTTCGGTTAGTTTCGTCACTCCAGAAGATGCCAGCTGACGGACTTTTTTTTTTGTCCTGAGCAAATGACTCACATTGTTGCTGATATATCCTGCCAGAAAATCCAATTGCACATAGTCGATTTCAGGTAAAGATCTTCAGTCCGTCTGTTTCGGTTTTCAGTGGGAGACGCGTCGAGCGGCTAAAGTTCAGATATTTGAACTCTGGCGGCGGCTCGGGCGGCAGCAGCTTCTGCAGCATCGCATGCACGGAAAATGCTTCCGCCATCTTGCGTGCCACCCAAAACATACGTGACGTGACACACGACCCCCAGAGGCTCGTCCTCCATAGACTTTGCATGTAAACCGGCCGCTCCTGCAGCTCAAAATGCGTTCGGTATGAACGTAGCTTCAGACATTTCACCTCAAACACATATGCACACACACACACACATGTGCACATTTTCTTCCTATTCTATTTACTTTGCCAGTAAACTGTGAGAATGCAGGTGTTCTTATAACTTTTGATGGGAACCTTTTCTGTTCCCATGAGAGAACTCCACCCACGTTGAGTGGACACTCAGCAGGAAAGGCGGGAAAACATGAATATTCTCTGTAAGGGAGTCCTAAAAACATTGCACACTGCAGATCCATGTGATAAAGTCACTGTCAGAGCTCAGAAAATGTGCAGAAGGAAAAAAAGATGATAGCCCTGAAAGGACTGGAACTTCTCTTCGATCATGACAGTAAAATAGAAGAGGATGTGTCTGAATCATTCATGTCAACAAATGCTGAAATACAYTGGTCTTCATCTTCAAGTAAATAACAAGGAAAACTTTGTGAAGGAAACACAATAAAGACAGTTCCAGAGCCTACTAGGATGGCAGTAACTCGTGTCACAGACATCAAGTCAGTCTTTGAGCTAATCATGCCCAGTTCCATATAGAAAAAAAATCTTTAAGTGACTAATTTATAATGAAGGCGTGTTTTGGGGAGAGGTGGATGGAGATGGATAAAATGCGTTAGGCATATTTGGGGGTCCTCATTCTGGTTGGGGTCTACGAGTCAAATGATGAGTCAACGAATAATCTATGAGATGCAGAGGCAATATTTTGTGCCACAATGTCTCAGGAGACATTTTTAATGTATTTTCTCCTGAATAATCCAATTTGACAATTGAAAGACAAGAGCTGTCAGACAGGAAACAGACTGTCAGATATTAGGACAATGTGGGACAAGTAGGTTGAGCAACTTCCACTGCTCTATAATCCAGGCCCTAATACAATATCACAATGGATGAAAGGCTAATGACATTCAGAGGTTGCTGCTCATTTAGGCAATAAAGTTTATTTTCATTACAATCTCCATGACTCATCTCTCTTGGTTTTTAATTATCGGGTCAGTTTGACCCTGAACAGAATAGGTGTCTCAAGTTCAGTCATAAACATCATTCCTCGAATGAATGAATGAATGAAT